CCTGAGTCTTTATTTTGGAACACATTCCTCTCTTCCCATTTTGTTTGGCTTTCTGTTTCTATGAATTAGGTGGAACAATTATTTCTTTTAAATTTGAAGGAATAGGGCAGCCCGGGTGGCTCAGCAGTTTAGTGCCGCCTTCGGCCCAGGGCATGATCCTGGAGTCTAGGGATCGAGTCCCACATCGGGCTCCCTGCATGGAGCCTGCTTCTCCCTCAGCCTGCGTCTCTGCCCCCCCCTCCCTGTGTCTCTCATGAATAAATAAATAAAATATTTTAAAAAATAAATTTGAAGGAATAGTTTTATATATGGTGTCATCTATATAGACTGTGAGCTCGAGCTCAGTGACTTTGGCTGGCTGGCTGGAGCTGTGGCTCTGTATGCTAGTCACTCTTTTAAACTGTGGCTTTTTAAAAATGAAGAAATAATAATAATAGTAATAACCATAGAATAAAAAATAAAATACTAAAAAAAGAAAAAATGAAAAGAAAAAAGAAAGTATAAAGAAAGAAAAGAAAAAAACTAAGAATAAAAATAAAAGCAAAAGTAGGAAAATTGAAAGAAAAATAAATAATTTTAAGAATAAAATTTCAAAAAGGATACCTTGGTGGCTCAGTGGTTGAGCTCCTGCCTTCAGTTCAGGGGGTGATCCCGTGGTCCCAGGATTGAGTCCCACATCCGGCTCCCTGCATGGAGCCTGCTTCTCCCTCTACTTCTGTCTCTGCCTCTTTCTTTCTCTGTGTCTCTCTTGAATAAATAAATACAATCTTTAAAAATGAAAATAATAAATAAAAACAATAATATTTTTTTAAATAAAAAAACACCCCAAACTCCAAAAATCGGCTTATTTTCTGTGCCCTAGTGCCAGTGGGGCTGATATTGGGGCTTGTGGACCCTTGGCTCATAGAGGTTGCAAGCTCACTGTGCTGGTCTGAGTTTTTAGGGTGGAGGATGAGAGAGTATCTCCACAGCTCCCTGGCTCTTTAAAATGCAGATTTTTTTCCTGTTTCCCAGTATGACCCAGGCTGGTGTGGGTCTGCAAACCCTGAGATTGCTGAGGTCACAAGCTCCCTGTGATGATCAGACCCACTAGTTATGGTATCCAGACCCTGCTCCAGTAGAAGCTTTTAAGGTAAAGGGGGAACGCAAATGGTGAGCTTCTCCAGTACCTCCTAAACAGTGTTCCCACAGCTAGTCCTCCATGTGGAGAGTTCTAGTGTTCTCTCTTTTACACACTAGTTACTCTGAAACTGCAGCATTTTTTTTTTTCTGTGCAAGGATGGAGGACTCTGTTCCCAGTCCCTCAGTACTGTCACTCCCCTGACCATTCTCAGTATCTGAAAGGGGGATTGCCTTTGTCACTATACCTCTGTCTCGCTTCCATTTTCTCTCTCTCTTGGTTGTTCAGTAGCTGTTTAGTTCTTCAGGATGAATGATTCTATAAATAGCTGTAATTTGATGTGTTCGATGGAAGAGGTGAGTTCAGGGTCTTCCTATGTTGCCTGCTTGGACTGGAACACAACAGATAGGTACTTAAATAGAAGTCACAGGACTGGTGGGATCTTTAAAGAGCAAGTATAGAAAAAGAGGAAGAAGAGACTCAGAAGTGAGGACAGAGTTCTGGGACCCTCTAATATGTAAAGTTCAGGAAGAAGAGGAGCAGTTAGAAAGAGAGACAAACAACAGCCAGTGAGTGTATTATGAATGAAATGACAAGTCCTGCTAGGTGGTTGAGTAAGAGGAAGGCTGAGAAATATGCACTAGATTTATCAATGTGGAGAGGTCACAGATAAATCTTGGTGGAAAAATAAAATGGTTGGTGTGGTGGCAAACAGTGAACACAGACTTACTTGTAGGGGATGAAGAGAAAACAGAATAAATAGGTACAGGAAGCAGTAATGACTTCTTTAGGTTTTGTTGTAAAAGAGAGCTAAGCAGGGGATGGCTGCTTAGTGTTTGCTGGAGGGAATGCTAGTCCAAAGGTGGCTTAAAAAAATAAATATATATATATATATATATATAGAGAGAGAGAGAGAGAGAGAGAGAGAGAGAAATAACATCATCTTTGCTTCTCATGAGAACCAATCAGTAGGGAGGGCAAAATTGATGATACCAGTGAAAACAAGATTATAGGTGTGATGGCCTTGTGTCCTGCAATAAATGTGAGAGTTGGGACTCAGGGCACTGTTGGGAGGTGAGTTTTAGGGAGTAGCATAGATGCTTCAACCATAGTAGCAGAACAGAATGCTTTGCACATGAATACGAAGGCAAGCATGTGATCAATGATAAGAAAATATGAGGTTCTCCTGGGATTCCTTCTAAATCCTCAGTGAAATAAGAGGATTATCAACAGACAGTGTGGAGTGGGAAGAGAAAGAGATCTGAGATGAGAATGTAAAAGATTTGTCTGGGACAATAGCTATTATATGTTTTTGACAGCAACATAGAATAAGAATTACCACTATGAAAAGGTAAGTACACGAACAGACACACACACAAACCAAGAATTTCAGGAGACAATGTCCTTCACTTATTTACACTTCTGTTCAGATTTATTTTATTAACAAAAGGTGGGTAGTGACTCACTAAATAATTTGGTGACACACGAATGGGTTGTAGTCTGCAGTTTGGAAAACACTCATCCAGAAGAACTGAAGAGGAAATTTTCTAAAGAGATGTAATAGGATCACATGCAGCACAATAAATCAACCTAAGAATAGAAATAAATTGGGGCCAATCCATTTAATCAAAAGCACATCATTATGGACTCCCCACACCTGACTGTTCCTCTTATCCAAGATCTCTTTTTATTCCTCTCCTCCAGTAACACAGATCTGAGATCTATCAGTTTTCTTGTACCTCATTTCTGTAACTCTCCCCATTCAATCATTTGCCAAATTTAAAACATTCTTCCTGTAAACACTTACCAGCATCTCATTGTTTCTATTTCCATTGATTTTGCCATAGTTCAGACCCTTACCGCCTTCTCTTTACCTTATATCATTACTATTCTTATTAGGATAATAACTGTAATGGATGTCCGTGACAAATTTATTTTAAAAAGAGAGGCAGCTAAAGAAAATAAATATCTAACACAATCTCATTAAGAGGTTATCCAGCTTTGTTTGTTGGTATAGGTACTTCCATTTTGTATGCATCTCTATTATTTTCCCTATACTTGTCTGTATACAATTATATAACGAAACCCAGCCTTATGCTTGCTTTTCAGAAGACACATTGTGAATTTCTGCTCTCAGTATTATGTGTTTGGCAAAATCATATTTAATAGCTGTAGGGCATTCCATGTATGGTATTTTAATCTAAACCATTCTGTTGAGTTTGTGCAGTCATGCGTGTGAGCCTCTCAGATCTGGGTCTGCAGGGAGCACAATTTGCCAAGGACCCCTGCTGCCGTGCTCGCAAATCAATTCATCTCCTAGCTTGTTGCAAGCCCGCATTTCCCAGTCAATAACAAAGCTCCGGAAATGTTCTTATGCAGCCCCATTTCTGGGAGACCTGGGATTCCTCTGATGAGTGACTCTGGCTTATGGGTCTCCCAGACCACTGGTAGAACATTACCTAGAGCCACACACACAACTTTCCTTTCTTCTTTCCCTCGGGACCAGACTTGCATGGAGTCTGAAGTCTTCTCCAGGCTTCTCCTAGCTCCTTTCCCATTTTCAAGGGCATTTCTCTTTCACCTGAGACATTTCTTATACACTTAATCCCATCTTGGCATGCTTCTCAGAGGACTGAAAGGAGCACAGACATTCAAGTTGTTCTCAGGTTTGTATTCTCTACAACTAAACTCTTGATTGGTCAACTCTTAGCATATCATTCAAAGCACTGCCATTGCTCAACAAATTAAGTCTGAGCACCTCCTTCTCTCTCCACACTTGGCTCCAACCCATCTCCCCAGCCCCACCCAGTGGTCTTAGCCCAGGGCCTGCTGACCAAATAGTCTTCTATTTTCTCCTGCCTCCTCCACCCCCAACTCCCAAGAAAACATCTGTCTGGCTGATGCCTCCTTCCTTCCTGATTTTTAAAAAATTATTTAATTTAATTAATTAATTTAATTAATTATGACACAGAGAGAGAGAGACATAGGCAGAGGGAGAAGCAGGCTCCCTGCGGGGAGCTTGATGTGAGACTTGATCCTAGGACCTGGGTATCATGCCCTGAGCCAAAGGCAGATGCCCAGCCACTGAGCCACCCAGGTGTCCCTCCTGGATTTCTTCTTGACTTTCCCACCCTGATGTTCTTTCTTCTCCATTTTTAAAGGGCACAGAAAAGTGTTTTCTGCAGTGTATTCACCCTTTTTGATATGTTATCAGAGAGGCTGTATAGTCCAGTGGTGAAGTGTACAATCTGTAATCAGACAGACCTAGATTATCATTTAAAACACACACTCACACACATACAAATTAGCTGAGATTGGATATGTTTGGGCAACACTGAGCTAAACAAAAGAAATCCAAGATTTTTTGTTTTGTGTTGTTTTTAATTGCAAGACTTCCCAGAGCCCTTCAAATGTTCATACAGATTGTGACTTTCCAAGGCCAGTATTGATACTTTGCTCAGCTTTTCTTGAATTTATTTGATCACAAAATCCTTTAAAAACACTGCCAGACCTTACTTTTTTTCTTGGAACATACTGGGAAAGGGTATAAGTAGCCCTAGAATTTTACATGTGTGGTTTTTACAGGACTATATATATTCTCCAACGTGTTATAGTTATTTGCATATTTATCTTAACATGTTTTCCCACTTTAGCTTTAGCATGAGGCCTTGAAAATAAGGGGCACTTTCTCAGTTGAAAAATCACAGAATTTTAGTTAAGGTTCCGGGATCGGAATAATACTTGGCAACTGGAGAAAGTTTGCCTCTACTTTCAGTGCTCTTCCACAGTCTTTTTTGTATCATAATATCCTGGGCTACATTTCAGGCTGGAAAAATGATCTTGATGTTGGACAAAAAGACCTTGCTAACACGAGGCTAAGTACATTTTCTCTACAAGTCACTTTATTGGTACAGCATAAGTGGGTGTAAAGATAGAAGTTCATTTTAAGGGCAAGGAAGCAGGAGTCTGCAGACTCTGGGTCTTGGCCCACCCTGGGCAGCGAGGAGGGCAGCCTGTGGCTTAGTTCTGATTGTTTTCGTTTCCAAGGCTGTGCTTGTCAAAGAGGTACTCTGCCAGGCCGGAATCCGGGGCCCCCATCTTAACCAGGTTTTGCACGTGATCACCCAGTTCTTTGATAGACTTCACCTGCTCATTCAGATAGTGCGTTTCCAGGAAGTCGCACAAATGGGGGTCACCTTGGTCTGAGGCCAGAGTGTGCAATTCGAGCAACGACTGGTTCACGTTCTTTTCCAAGAGCAGCGCACACTCCATGGCCCTCAGGCCGCTCTCCCAGTCGTCCCGGTCCGGTTTCTTGACGTCCCGCAGGCAGATCCGGCCTCCCCGCCGGTTCTGCAGGCGCATCAGCCCCTCCGCGTGCTGGGCCTCCTCCCGGGCCTGGCGAAGGAAGTACCTGGCGAAGTTGCTGAGCGCCACGTCATCTCGGGAGAAGTAATAGGCCATAGACAAGTACACGTAGGCCGCGTAGAGCTCCAGGTTGATCTGGCGGTTGATGGCGGCCTCGCAGTCCGGGTGGAAGTTCTGGCGCACCCGGGAGCGGGCGGGGCGGGGGCGGGGGCGGGCGGGGCTGGGTCCCGGGAGGCGGCGGCCGCGGCCAGAGGGCGCAGGGGCGCGGGGGCCCGGGGACGCCAGGGGCGCCCGGAGGCCCGCAGCGGCGGGAGTGCGAAGCCCGGGCGCGCGCAGCGCAGGGACACCAGCGAGGCGCTGATGTGCTTGGAGAGGAGCCAGAACCAGGGCCGCATGGCTCGGCTCCTTGCGAGCCAGCGGGGGAAGCAGGCCAGGGCGGCACAGCGTGCGGCCGGCGCCGGCGCCGGGAGCTTCAGGTCTGACGGCGAGCGCGGCCCTAGGCGACGGCGACTGCGTCACACACACCCGGTGCGCTCCCGGGGCGCCGAGTTCCAGGCGGGGGTTGGGGGCGGGGCGGGGCGGGGGCGGGGCGCACCTGCCGGGAGGGCGCACCCCCGTTGACTCAGCGGTGCCCCGGCTCTGCCCGTGGGCCTTTGTGACTTACTATTTCATCGAAGTCAAAAGTGCTGTCCAAAACACAGGCGCTGGGACGGGCGAAAGGAAGGAGGGATCTAGCGATGCTTGCCCTCCCTCTGTGAACTCTTTCTTTCCAAAGCTCGAGGCGTGTGTGTGTGTGTGTGTGTGTGTGTGTGTGTGTGTGTGTGTATGTGGGGGGGGGGCAGAGCCTTGAAATAGGATGAAACAAAATAGGTCCGCAGCCAAAATGGATGCTTATAAATTGACTGAAAGGACTGCTAGTACAAATTTTCAAGAGTCTGTAGTAAGAGTGCTTTTTTAAAAAAGTCACTTTATTTTTAAATATAAAATGCATCTTTACTGCAAAATAAAGCACTAGAAAAGTAGGAAGAAGATATGAACTAGTTCTAAACACGAGGTTATTTATCTGGTCTTTGTTAACGCAGATACATACAGTCTGAGCAGAGCAGAGCTGTGGAGAAGTTGAATCACTATGTTGCACATCTGAAACTAATGTTACATTGTGTGTCAAGTAAAATAACTTTTTTTCTTTTTTTAAGGGCAAATGCCCAGCTTTTACTAACAGACTTGTAATGTTGAAGTTCCAATGCTTTTTCTTAGCCTCAAGAAGATAAATTTTCTTAGCTAACATGCTAGGAAGTGTCAACAATACCAGGTTGCATCCTAGGACAGCAAACTGGTTCTGCTTTCTCATGGATCTTTTCAATAATCAGATTATTAAATTTGAGGTGTGATTATCTTTGTTGAGAAAGTGGTCAGATTCTAGTTTTTCTAGTGTATTTTCCAGGTGCCTTATTAAGTCTTGGCTTTTAAATCTTGCTGTTTCCTTTATGGCATGTATGAATTTTTTTTTCCACATTTCTGGAGATCTGCTCACTCCTTCAAGCAATTTGAAAATTCTTTCATATTTTCATCAAAACTGTCAAATTTCCCTTTTTAACTGATGCTTTATTTCAGCATTGATTTCCATTGGTATTGGCAGTTTTTTCTGGCACTTCTCCCAACACAGACATTGCTATAACTTTGGAGTCATCATCTTTCAAGGACATAGCTGAGCTTGCAGGGTGGGATGCTCCCTGTGCTTCCTATTTCACTGACAGCAGTGCCAGGCTTGGCCTTCTCTTAGAGGGAGGATGAATTGTGGATTCTCCAAAATGTTTCATTTGGCTTTCCTCCAAACAGCCAACTCCTCTGCTTTATCGGTCATCATTTCAGGGCTGGTCTTGGGCAGTCCCAGGAGTCCATCTGCCAAAAGAAGTTTTTAAATAAAAAATAAATAAATAAAATAGTCTGAAAAAATAAATTTAAAATGGTATTTGGTTTTAAAAGAATGTTGTAACTGTTATCGTGTATTGAGAAAATGAGGATTAACTCAACAGAAGAAAATTCAGGAAATTTCTATTCTCTACCCAGAGAGAACCATGGTTAAAATGTTGATAATAATTCTCACAGATTAAAATAAAAATCACAGAAGCTCAAAAGTAAATATATACCTTTGCAATAGCTTTCGAGAAGTATAATTGACATAAAATAAACTGCAGATACTTAAAATGTACAACTTGATAGAGTTGGACGTAGGTATATATCTGTGAAATCATTGCTAAAATCCAGATAATGAACATTTCATCACCTCTCAAAGTTCCCTCATGTTCTTTTATATTTTATAATCACTCCCTCCTGCCACTTTCTGCCCCACATTATCCCAGGCATCCATTGATCTGCTTTTCCTCACTATGTAGGTTAGTTTGCATTTTCTAGAATTTCATATAAACAATTGGTGTGAATTCCCTTTTTGCATGGTTTCTTTTGCTCAGCACGGTGGTTTTGCGATCTACCCATGTTGTAGTGTGTATGAATAGTTTTTGTTGTTGCATAGTTCTTCCATTGTGTAGATATATAACACAACTGGTTTAACCTTTTCCCATCTCATGAACATTTTGCTTGTTTACAGTTTTTGGCTGTTGAAACAAAGCTGTTATGAACATTTCTGTCCAAGCCTTTGTATGGCTGTATATGCTTATTTTTCTTAGGCGAACACTTTATATGGAATGGCTGGATCATATGGTTAAGCATATGTTTGACTTTTTAAGAAACTTCAAATTTTTTTCCAAATGGTTGTACCATTTTACATTTCCATCAGCACTATGTGAGAGTTCAAATTCCTTTACATCCTTACAACCACTGGTATTGTCACTTATTTCTTGTTAATTTAAAACTTAAAATTTAGCCATTCTAGTAGGTGTATACTGGCATTTCTTTGTATTTTTAATTTGAATTCCTGTCATAGTTAATGATGCTGAGTACATTTTCTCATACTTCTTTGCCAACCATGTATCTTGGGTGAAGCGTACAAATCTTCTGCCCATTTTACATCCTGGGCCATTTCTTTTCTTATGGTTATTTGATATCTTTTGGTTGATATCTGAGTCTCTGATATTATTGCTGCTTATATTCAGGCCTTCTTTCTGTTATCAGCATATTACTTTCTCCGTATCACTTTCCTAGATTTCCTTGTGCAAGTCAGACTACATTCCTAGGTCAGTTTCCTCAGTTGTAAATTCCAGATCCTACTTATTTACATTGGGTCACTGAAAGGATTCAATAAAATAATTATGCAGAGGACTTGTCACAGAGCTTGGCACAGAATAAGCACTCAGGATATTCTTTAATAGTTCTTATTGGATAGTTTCTATTTAATTATTCAAGACCATTTATTTTATATTATTCAGTAAGCAATAATAATTATTATATATGGAAAACCTTATACAGCTTACACAGTATGCTTACATGCATTATACTGTTATCATGTAGGGATAGTGAGGTAAAATTTCTTTTATAATATGGGCATATCAAACTTGTAGTTTGGTAGTAAGCTCTTTGGTCTCAAATGAGCTTCTTAAAGTGTACTGTAAATAGAGGTGGATGCCTAAGATCTAGTTTCACTTAGTCTCTGCTAGCAGAATGCGATGGATATTCACCAAGAAATTTCCTACTCATTTTTGCTTTTCTCTATCCATCTTTGCTTTTATTTTCTCTAAACTTTTGCAACTCCTAAAACATAGTTCCCTAAAGAGAGGATCTGAAAATGATTGTTTAGTATTAAATGCCAACTGCTGCTACTAGTGTTTTAGTAGAAATGATGCTTTTCATATAAATGCTTATCCCCAAGGTAAAAAAAAAACATAGCTATAAAACAAATGAAGGACGTGAAATGTAATGCAAAACAACATCATAAAACACAATACACACTGAAATATTCCATGCTAATCTGTCAAAAATGTTTCCTGTTCCTTACAAAGTTTGTCATGTGTTTTGCTAGATGTTGAAAATACAAGGATTTTTTTTTTTTTAATTTTAGGGACATTTTGATTTCCAGTGTTCATAGTAAACAATGTTATACCAAAAGTACAAACCTAGACCATGGCCCACCATTCTTCGCAAGCCATTTCTTTCTCAGTTTTTTTTTTTTAAGATTTTTTTATTTATTCAGAGAGAGAGAGAGAGAGAGAGAGAGAGAGAGAGGCAGAGACACAGGCAGAGGGAGAAGCAGGCTTCATGCAGGGAACCTGATGTGGAACTCGATCCGGGGTCTCCGGGATCATGCCCAGGACTAAAGGCGGCGCTAAACTGCTGAGCCACCAGGGCTGTCCTCTGCCTCAGTTTTAATGGCTTCTTCTCTTCCTTGAACAGCCCTCTAAGCCTTGGAGATTCTCTGGTGCTCCCTTTACTTCTCCTTTGTCCTGTCCTCCCTTCTTTTACTTCTTCACGAAGTACATCTCATCTTTTTAGGTCCCATCAAATATGTTATTTTCTAAGGTCTTAGATAAGTTCATTTGGAATGAATCACTACTTTGTTGTTATTGTTGAAGACTTTGTTTATACTGATAGTATATCATATCATGTTATAATTTCTTGTATATGGGCACATGCCTGTGTATACTTAAATGTGTATTGGTGTGTGTGTGTCCTTATGGGTACAGCTTATCATCCTACTTATTTTTTTTTTATTGAAGTATAGTTGACCCACTAGGTATACACCATAGTGATTCCATAAGTCTCTAAGTTGTGCTATGCTCATCATAAGTGTAGCTGCCGTCTGTCACCATACAACCCTTACAATACCATTGACTATATTCCCTGTGATGTACCTTTCCTCCCCGTGACTTATTCATTCCATAATTGGTAGCCTGGAGCTCCCACTCCCCTTCATCCATTTTGTCCATCCCCCTCCCCCACTGGCAACCTATCTCATTTTTAAATTCCTAGTCCTATGCTTCTATCCCCCAAATAAATGGGGATAGGAAAATTTATTTCACATAGGGTATCACCTTAGCCAAGTGCACATTTATAAGGTATACTAGGAGATGGCTTTGCTGTAAGTTATTTGAAAAGCTCTGTACTTTGCTGGTTTCAGACTTTTAAAAAATATTTTATTTATTTATTCATGAGAGACACAGAGGGAGAGAGGCAGAGATATAGGCAGAGGGAGAAGCAGGCTCCCTGTGGGGAGCCCTATGTGGGACTCCATCCCAGGACCCTGGGATCATGCCCTGAGCCAAAGGCAGAAGCTCAACCACTGAGCCATTCAGGCACACCTGTTTTCAGACTTAAAAGGAATAACAATATCCTCCATGTTATGCTTTATAGATTTATTGGATGAAGTATTTGTTTTCTATGTAAAAATGCTTTGCCAATTGGAAATTTAAGGACTATATGAAAATGGGTTGTAATCCAATGAATAATGTTTTGATATATGTAATATATAGATCATGTTTTTATATTATTTTCTGTAGAGCATTTTATTTTAAATACTAGATATTTTTAGAATTTACCTACCTTGGAAAGTATACCAACAA